TCGAACTTCCATTCTTTAGACTAAAAGGCATAACTTTATAACAATATATACCTTTATCTGTCACGAAGGCTGTCGATTCTTGATCGTCGGGATGATTGAGGATTTGATTGTATCCGGAGTAGGCATCCATGGATGTCAGAAGCTCATGACCTACTGTTGCGTCTACCATGGCGTCGATGTGCAGCAGCGAGAACGGATCCTGGGGGCATGCCTTATGAGATCTGTGAAGTGGATGCATGCTCTCCAATTGGCGTTTGATAGGTCATCGTCGAGCCTACCAAAGATAAATCCTATCTAGGTCTCACTAACTAATAGCAAGGGTAAGAAAGGGTCGAACCCAAGAGAGGCGTCGAATCAACCACCGAGATACTACCGTTCAAATAAGCTAAATGAAGTCGAAATTGGTTTGGTTTTAAGTAACTTCTACTAGTTCAAATAAAACAACTAAAATCTAAGGGGCGATTAAAAATATTAAGAGGAATCTAGGGCTTGGGTTATACCACTCAACTTCATCACAAATCATAATTAGCATGCAACAATCAAGGTGAAATAAGGGGATAAAATAAGGGAAGTCATCTAAGGCACCCAACTACTCTATCAAGCTAGAGGGATTCCTTGAATCATGAATACAACCTACTCTTATGGTTACAAAGCATAAAACAAGTGTTAAAGCATAATCACGATGACAAAAACATTCCCTTGACTGGAAATTCCTATTATCATGGCATTTCAAGTCAATTAAGCATAAGGGAGCTAACTCAAGTTCATCTCTCGATCCTTCATTGAGAAAGCTTGGATAAAAAGTCCTAACATTGGCCAAATGCAAGAACTAACAATGAAACCACTTAAGCTCAACTAATTAACACCCCACAATCACCAAATTATTGCATGCAACAAATTCTTTGTGACTACATTGAGGGTTTTACCCAAACCCTAGAAAATAGACTACTCACAATTCATGGTGAAGAACAATCTAACAAAAATATCTAAGTTCATCATAAATATAACAAGTTGAAAAAAGTAGTAAGAATAAGGTAGATTTAACATGCAACAACAATTAAGTAAGATTAAGATGGAAATTAACAATTCAAAGCAATTAAAGACTGAAAATAAAGAGCAAGAGATAGAGGAAGAAATTACTAATGAAGCTTTAAAGTTGAGAAAGTGTTGAAATTGAGAATACAAACTTCAATTAAACTACTTCAATGATTGAAATTGAGAGAAACTTAGCTATTTAATGAGAGTTTTGAGAGCTAACTAAGCGCCTAAGATGACTAAAAGGAAGAAGACCCGTAAAATAGAAACCAAGGGTCACTTTAATACCCCCAAAAATTACATCGTAAAATCCGTCAAGAAAAATCGGGATTACAGAGAGGCGCGCCCGCTCCTAACGCTGGAGCGCCCTCTCCTGGCCTTCCTGCGAGCCCGCTCCTGACTGCACAGATTGGGGCAGATTGCTTGAGCTCGACTAGAAGCGCCTGCTCCTTGAAGGTTGCACGCCCTCTCCTTGTAATGCAGGTGAAAGTCAGTTTGTGGCAGCTCGGGTAGGAGGGCCCGCTCCTCAAATGGTGCACGCCCGCTCCTGGCTGGGAATTGAGAGAAGCAGATTGTGGCGTTTAGGTTAGGAGCGCCCTCTCCTCAGGGGGCTCCTCTTGTGCTTTGCTTCCAATATAGTTCTTCATGCTTATGCTATATAACCAATTTATCATTGCATCTACAAACATGAACACACACATAAAAAAGATCGGGGAAGCCAAAAGCTATAATCATGCACTGAAGGAGATAAAAAGGGATAAAAGAGGGGAAAATAACTACAAAATTGTGTCAAAATACCATGATAAGTGGACAAATAAAACACTTATCACCGTTCTTTTTGCTGACGACGACAACATTTGCGAGCCAATCTGGATATTTCACTTCTCTTATTTTCCTGTGTCAATCAACTGCTGCACTTCGTCATTGATGATTAGATTTCTTTCCGGGGTGAACTTTCGACGCTTCTGCTTCATGGGCTTGTGATTTGGATCAAAATTTAGCTTGTGCGAGATGGCGTTTGGATTTGTACTTGTCATATCTTCATGCGACCAAGCGCAACAGTCTTTATTCTCTCGGATGAAGGCTAGTATGGCGTTTTTGAGTTCTGGTGTTAGGTTGGCTTCGACATCGACAATTTGATCTGGTTTTCCAGGGTCTAGAGGTATTTCGTCAACGTTTAGGTCGTTGGGATTGTCTGGTGTCGGGCCTTGCTGCAATTGCTAGGTGGATCTCATGCATGGTTTTAGGGTTGTTTTGTAGATTTTTTTGGCTTCACGGGGTTCTCCTTTAATTTCTTGGATTCCCCAAGGGGTTGGAAATTTGAGAATTTGGTGGTAGGTGGAGGATAGCTTTTAGTTTTTTGATCCAGGGTTTGCCCATTATGGCTTTATAGGCTGAGGGATAGTCTACAATGTTGAATTTGATTTGAGGGTTTAGGCCGCCAGCATAGGTGGGCAGGGTTATGTCTCCAAGAGTTGACATTGTCTCGCCGCTGAAACCGAATAATAGTGTTGACCTTCTTGTGATGTCGTCATCCTTCAGCCCCTTCTCTTCCATGGTCTTCCATAACAGAACATTTGCGGAGCTTCCTCCATCGACCAACACTCGTTTCAGCATACAATTCCCAACCATCAATGAAATGACCAGGGAGTCTTCATCCTCTTTGTTGATGTTGTTGATATCATCGTTGTCGAAAATTATGGCCATTGCTTCGAGCTTCTTTTCCAAGGGATCTCTTGCTTCTTCCGAGACGGCAGGGTCACTTGACGATGTCTTGGCGATTCTTTTAGCTGTAGAATAGGTTAGCCCACAAATATCTAAACCACCAGAAATAACATTAATTACTACCTTAGGTGTAGGTGGTTTGGGTGACTTTGTCGTCATAACAGCTTTGACGTCGTTGCCTTTCTTCTTGCTCATTAGATGCTTGAGGTTGCCTCTCTTTAGCTGGAAGGCCACTTCCCTTCTCAAAGCATAGCAGTCTTCCGTCTTATACCCATGGTCGCTATGGAATTCGCACCATTTGCTCATATCATTCTCCGAATCTGGCTTATTGCTCTTTAACGGCCAACGAACTTTGCTCCCTAACGGCTCCAGTGCATTCACTACTGCAACCACGTCAATGTCAAACCCATATTCTGATATTTCGGGGAATTTTGGTGCTTCGTTCCTGCACACTATTAACAAATCATGATCTACCTAAGGTTTCGTAAGGCTGGTGTCGCCATGATCCACGTGGATTGCTTGCAACCTTTCGATCAGTTGTACTCTTGGTGCTGTGGTTGGAATTGCGGTTGATAACGTCTTCGTCGAAGCGCATCTGGGCCACTGCTCACGTCCGAACTTCCTCAAACGTTGAACATGGGTACTTTACCATATCCTTGTATAGATCAGAATCGGTATGCAGTCCTCGACGGAATGCTTCAATGGCAGTCCTGTTGTCGACATTGTTTTATAGAGACCTTCTCTTTGTTGAATTTGGTCCAATAAGTCCTGATGCTTTCTTTTGGTCCTTGGACGATCCGGTATAGGTCGCTAGTTTGCTTGTCGAACTGCCAGCTACTTTCAAAATGGGAATAAAACTTGTTAATTAACAAAGCAAAGCTAGTGATACTACCTGGTTCGAGTTTGCCGAGCCACTTAAAGGCGGGACCAGTCAGCGTCACACCAAAAGATTTGCACATGCATACTTCCTAGCACTCGGACGAAATTGACGCTTGCCACATCCGCTGCTTGTAATACACGACATGCTGCTCTGGACAAGTGGTGTCGTCATAGAGCGAAGTGAACGTCGGCAACGACAGTCTTCTAGGGATGCAAGCTCTGGACCATTCATCACTGAACGGTGTTGCTTTGAATCCGTCGGGTGCCTCTCTCTAGACTGGGATTAGGACACCTGGCATCCTCTTCATCATAGTCAGCACTTTGGAGTTCTGCTTCTCAAGAGCGGCTAACCTCTAGAGCAATAGTTTAGTCTGGGTCGGCTCACGATCGTTGCGCTGACGCTCGTTCTCTGGAATTTGGGTCTCGTTCCTTGTTCCTGAAGGATCAGCATCCATTTCTTCGCCGCTGGTCTCTTTGTCGGTATCGTGCGGGGACTCCAGTAGCTCCAGAGGACGCACCCTCGGGATTATCCCAAGCTGTCTTGGGTTTCGACAACGGTTTCTCTGGGCGGATTCCAGTTGCTGTCGGAGGGTACCTGCATTAGATGTCGACGCTTCTTTTTCACGGCTGAGGCATTCGTTGGATTCTTTGGCTGCGAGGAGATCAGCCTTGGCTTTCTCATAGGCTTCTCTCATTTGCTCGAAGGTCATGTCTCCAGATTCCATCACGAAGGTAGGGCTTAGATTTGTAGGGTTTGGAGGTTTTTATCTAGTTGTTTCCCTACAGACGGCGCCAAAATGTTTATGCTAAATTTCATCGAGTGGGATTGAGTAACAAAATCTAGGTTACGGATCAACAAAATAAAACCTTGAAGAAAAGAAATAACGAGATAAATAAATGACACAAGGAATTGGTGATGCGAAAAACCCAAAAAAGGTAAAAACTGCGGGTAGAATGAGGATCTACCAAACTTTCACTATGTAAAACGATTGAATGAGAATGATTACAATATATGATCAGTGAGTGTTTAGTAGCTAGGTTGCAATGTGTCTAACGTCAATGCTTCCTCTCCTATATATAGATGATGCCTAGGGTTTAATGTAGCTGCTGAAGAATAATAATATCAACTCCTTAATTCTCGGCAGCTAACTCCTTGATTCGTGGCACTTCTCCCAGCTTGATAACGGCTTAACTGTGATAGGAGACTTAGTCTCTCAAACCTATCTCTTCCTATAAAATAGGAGATTCGTTACTCTCGCTTCGTCCGTCAAGTCTGGGCTGGTCGTCAATCTTCGCTCTTTGTCGTTGACTCTTGTTGACTTTGACTTACTATAAAATTTACCCATAACATTCACTATAAGACATTCTGGTTTGACGCTGTGAAAGAGCAGAGAAGGTTGATGAAAAAGCATGGAGACGCGATAACTTATGATGCAATATTTGATATGCATCATTTGCATCGTTGCATCAAGGAAGCCTTGAGGCTACACCCGCCACTAGCAATGCTATTGCGTAAATCGCATAAAAATTTTAGTGTGACTACTCGAAAGGGTGACAAGTACGACATCCCAAAAGGCCATATAATCGCAGCCTCACCGATTTTGTCTAATCGTGTTCCACATATTTACACGAATCCTGATAGTTACAATCCTGAAAGGTTTTGCCCTGGAAGGGAAGAGGATAGATTAGCTGGCCCGTTCTCGCTCGTATCGTTTGGAGGAGGCAAGCATACTTGCCTTGGTGAGACATTTGCATACTTGGAGATAAAGACTATATGGAGCTATTTGATTCGGAACTTTGAGCTCGAGTTGATTACTCCGTTCCCAGAGACTGAATATAATGAAATAGTATGGAGTCCGAAAGGAAAGGTGATGGTACGATACAAGCGTAGGAAACTTGTTATTGAGTAAATATTGGGATTGTACAATTCTTCATCTCGGTCATTGTGGATATTGTTTGATTCCACATAGTTGTGAGATTGTACAATTCTTCAACTCGGTCTTTGTTTGTAATAATGTCATGCTGTATGTATGCATGCATGCTTGTAAGCAAGTCATCTTTATTTGCTATGTCATTTCTTTCTTTTTTTTTTTTTTTTGTTTTTTACTTAATTAAAAAGATGCAATAATTCACAACTAAAGGACTCATTCTATGTTTGGTTTTTATTTTTTATTTTTTTTTATTTTATTATTATTTTTTTTAATCTTTATTTTTTTAGTAATGAATAAAAAGTTGTTACATAGTGTAAAAGAAAAACAAAGAAAATTTTATTTTTTTTAAAAAAGAAAAAAATAAGTAAAAGTGGGTATAATTTAGAAAAATAGATAAAAGTCAAAAGTGAATAAACTTAAATAACAATGGAGAAAGTGAAAATTCTACAATGTCATTCTTTAAAAGAGGCACCACAATATGCTTACGTGGCGAAATCTAATTGGCCCGTAATTAGTATTTCGATTTTCATTTTGAATTATTTTTAATGTCCATAATGTATTAAATTTAGATTATGTATTATTTTTAATATATGTATTTTTTTAGAAATACATAATTTTAAATTATGAAAATCTATTTTTAAAATACTAATCAATTTTCAAAATTTTACTTATAATTAAAAATCACAAAATTAAAATTGTTCATCATTATTCATTAATGTTCATCAATGTTCTTCATTCATGTCATAGATTAGCCACTCATTCCTAAAATAATCGTTGTTAATTGTTAATTCGTAAATAAATTATGTTGTACCATTTCGTTTTTTCAGTAAATGAATTGTTGTGTAATGTTTCGCTTTTTTCAGTTTTGATTTTTAGGATTTTGTTCATAAAAAATCTCAACAACAATCTCATTTTAAAGTCTTTGTTAAGGAAGAATTACTCGCATAGGTGTTTTGCAATATCACGGTGGACGGCGGCATAGAGATTTAAGTTGAATGATTGACGCTCTTCCGAGTGTGTAATCGGAGAAGACGACTATTAGGTTTTTTTTTTCCTCTTTTGAGTCCCATCAGTTTGATCCGTAAAATTTATTACTTGTTTGTGACTTAAGTAATGACATAAACTACTTTTGATCATTACCTAGGAAAATAGTGTTTTATATATTCTGTTTGTATTAAAGGCATTTACCTATGTTTACTTTGGATATTATCTGAAAAATATATTACGACGTAATTAAATAAATAATATGTAGATTTTTCCTAAGAATATACATATAACATAAAAGCACAATCAATCCACAATCATTTACACGTTATTTATGGAGTCTTAAGATTGTTGTTTTAGTTACTTCCAATTAAATATATTGCTAAATATATTGTATATATTTATGTAAATGTAAATTAGTTAGGCGTATTATTCTCTTTCCTAGTTTATAGCCTTTGACTTGTATAATTGTAAATTAGTTGGCTGTAGATATGCTTTTCTAATTTATAGCTTTGACCCTTATTATTATTATTATTATTATTATTATTATTTTGAAACAAGACCCCTTATTATTATTATTATTATTATTATTATTATTATTATGATGATGATAATTTTTAATTTTTGAAATATTTTTAATATTTTATTATTAATATCCTAATGCACTTGCACTGTTGCCCACAAATATTTTACATATATAATTCTTCTCTCCGACATTATTATTATTTATTATTATTATTAACTCAAAATATTTAAATAAAATTAGTAGGTAGCTAAAAAATAATTTGGGCTCCACTGCTTTAGCTATTGCAAAATCAATCCTAACAAAAATGTGGGCTGTTACTCCAGCCCTAATATCTTGTGCCTTGGAGAACCTCTGTACCCTTTAAAGCAAAGCAACGGCATATGTTGGAAAAAGGGACTATTACTACTACTATAACATTATTATGAAAACAACAACTACTACTACCACCACTACAACATTGAAGCCTCAACAAAAGTACTTACTCAACGGTTGGGAAAAGGGAATAGCTGCATTCAATATATTATGTTCTTAAGATTTTGACAATTGATATATAATTTTTAAGAGTTCTTTTTATGTAGATTAATAACATCAACTAAAAAGTAATGACCTATACTGTGATATACCATTACCTGAATTTGTTATCTAAAAATAATTTTTTTACTCCAACATAACTTATTAAATAATTGTCTTTCATGACACTGAGATAAAATAATCACCTACTATGATTTATATTTGGAAGTAACTGTATACATTCTTTAAATAGTTCAACTAGGGTTGTTAATGAGTCGAGCCTACTCATGAAATATTCGAGCTTCGCAAAGCTTGGCTCGGCAATGCTCAACTTGAGTTCGTATTCGGCTCGAGACTAAACGAGACAATACACACGAGCCATGCTAAGCTCGCAAGCGGCTCGAATTATTTTTTAAAAATTAATATTATGTTTTTTGGAATTTAAATTAAGTTGATAAGCACAATAACAGTAACCCACCATTATACTTAGATAGTTGGGTAAGTTATGTGACATAGGTTATGTATTTATGGGCCTAAATAATTCTAATTTCAAAATCGAGCTTCTAATGAGCATGATTTCGAACTTGAGCCAATAATGAGCTCGACCCGAGCTTCACTTTTGAGCACTCGCGCTCGAGCAGAGCTCAATTTTCAAGGCTCGAGCCGAGCCTCGAACCCGAACTCACAAGCTCGAATCGGGCCTATTTAAGAAAAATGGACCTCAAATGATATAATACATACATTAAAAATAGGATTAAGAGGTTGTTAGCTAGGAGTATAATCAAGTGGGTCATGAGTTTTAAATAAAGGTAATAGTGCAATTTTCACCATAAAAACCTTTCTTTTATACTGTGTTGCAACTATTGTGACATTTCCCATTTAGGGAAGTGTTGGAACTATAAATTAAAGATAATAACATTTTCATTTATAAAGGATTAAACTAACATCTATTATACTTTCAATTGATACTTTAGAACGAGGATACACTATTTAAATAACATCAAATAAAAATGTAATGTTATGACTTATAAAAGTTTAGGTCATTTCCTGAAGTACTTATATACTTCCTCCGTTTTCTTAATATTGCACCACTTGTCTTTTATGAAAGTTTCACAAATATTGCACCATATCCATTTAAGGAAAAAAAATATTTGTGTTCACACTACAAATACCTAATATGCCCTTACTTTTCAACACTTACTTTTTATTTTCTGTATATAATCACATGGACAACTTTAATTTGTATTTTTACCTTTCTCTCTCATCCTTTTTCCCACTTTCAAAAAATTTGTGCCAAACCCTTACGGTGCAATAATAAAAGAATGGAGAAAGTATAAATTAAATATACAAGCGGATAGGCGGTTTATATAATGTAAGTAAGCTACATTTATCTTTTTTATTTTTAAAACAAAAATTCGACCTCCTTATATAAAGTAAGGAAAATACAAATATTTTATTATATTAGGTCATGTATAGTATTAATTCTTTTCTCCTATTTAAACTAAATAGTGATATTATTGTCATTTTATCGACACAATTATATTACAATATAAATTTAATAACGAATTAAACATTCTATTTTCATTCTCAGAAGTATGAAACATAATATAAAATAGGATAAATTTTGTTAATTACAATATTAAATAAATCTTAGTTAAATAACTGTATATAAAATAGGGATAATTTTGGTAACTATAGTATTAAAAATGAATTTTAAGATAATAGTTGATATTATAGTAGGATAAATTTTGGTAATTAAAATAATAAATAAATTCTTAGGATAATAATTGATATACTTTCTGTCAAAAAATCACTATGATATATGTTTGGAAGTGTTAAACATATTGCTAAATATATTGTATATATCTTTGTAAATGTAAATTAGTTTCATTGATTCATAATTATATACATAACCGTAGCTTAACTGATGGCTACAATCAAGGGGTCAAAGCTATAAACTAGGAAAGCATATCTACAACCAACTAATTTACAATTATACAAGTCAAAGACTATAAACTGGGAAGGAGAATAATACGCCTAACTAATAAGAAGCAACTAAAACTACAATCTTGGGACTCCATAAAAAAACGTGTAAATGATTGTGGATTGATTGTGCTTTTATGTTATATATATTCTTTAAAAAAAAAATCTACATATTATTAATTTAATTACATTGTAATATATTTTTCAGGTAATGTCCAAAGTAAACATAGGTAATTGCCTTAAATACAAACAGAATATATAAAACATTGTTTTCCTATGCAATGACCAAAATTAGTTTAGGTCATTATGTAATCCACAAACAAGTTTGTGAAAAATTAATTAATTTTTACGAATCAAACTGATGGGACTCGAAAAAAAAACCAATGGTCGTCTTCTCCTATTACACAGTCAGAAGTACGCTAATCATTCAACCTAAATCTCTATGCCGCCGGCCACCGTGACATTGCAAAACACCTATGCGGGTATTTCTTCCTTAACAAATACTTTAAAAAAAGATTGTTGTTGAGATTTTTTTTTTTTGTGAACGGAACCCAAAAAATCAAAACTAAAAAAAAAAAAACGAAACTCTACAACACAATTCATTTATGAATTTATTGGGATTTTAGGTCGGATTAGAGAATACATTAACAATTAAAAATGATTTTGGGGAATGGGCGGCTAACTATGACATGAAATGAAGAACATTGATGAACAATGATAAATTTTTAATTTTCTAAATTTCAATTATAATTTAATTTTCGAAAATGATTTAAAAAAATTTAAATAGACTTTTAAATACTGTAATTATGTATTTTTTTAAAGTACATGTATTTACAACTATACATACATGTATAGTACATTTTGCCTTTTAAAAATAAATGAAAAATGGACCAACCATAACATGCCATGTCTGCATGTTATGGTGCCTTTTTTGAAAAATGACAAAATAGACCTCCTCCGGAGAAAGAATTCAAACTACTTAGATCAATCAATTTTAGGAAGATTTAATGAGTGTAAGCTACGTAGTGGCCTGGCGAAATTAACACAGTGGTTATAAACTTTGCAAATGATATTGAGATTGACTAATTACCATCAATAGCTTTAATTGCCAATAATTTAAAATTATAAAAATTAGATTTTATGATAGTATAAATTGAGGGGATTC